TTACATATATCATAATTACTATGTATTGTAAGTAACAATAAGCATATATAATAAATAATTTAAGATAGGTAGTCTTTCCAAAGTCTCAAGTCATTTATGACAAATATAATATTTCATTTGAAATGTTTTCAGTGAACGAAGGTAATTTTTAGTTTAGTTTTTTTTTTTTTTTAGATTATTTATTTATTTATTTGGCAGAGAGAGAGAGACACAGCGAGAGAGGGAACACAAATCAAGGGGAGTGGGAGAGGGAGAAGCAGGCTTCCCCCTGAGCAGGGAGCCTGATGCGGGGCTCGATCCCAGGACCCTAAGATCATGACCTGAGCTGAAGGCAGACGCTTAACAACTGAGCCACCCAGGCGCCCCTGATTTTTAGTTTTAATTCTGAGTTTATTAAATGTCTGTTTTGTTCTTTACAATTCACGTTTTGTCAGAAGAAATACTTCTACTATTTTTTTGTTGACCAAAGGAATGTGAATTGACAGTGTCTACAAAGTGTATTAGAAAAAATATTTTAAAAACTTGTACTTTTTAAAAAAAAATGTCAGTAACTATTATCTCCCAAATTTCTTTACTTTTTAAATTGTGTATATTAGAGAAATGGTTCTTAAGTCAAGGTGAAAAATGAGTAAGTTCACTCTGTTTTATTAGGAATAGATTAAAAATAAAGTGTTTTTACGCATATTTGTGTTTATCTTATTTGTTGCAAATCCCACCAGGTTCCCTTTTTGCCTGGTTCACTAGGAAATTCTGAGAAAATATGATTGAATTGGAAGTAGCAAAAACATGTAACAGTTTCTATTTGTTTCTCATTTGCATCTTTCTTCCTCACTTTGTAACCCAAGAAACCTCAAATCCTGCTTGGAAATCCAGGCTGCATAAATCATGAAATAATTAAAATAATTATCTGGTAAGTACAGTAAAAAGCAGCAGAAGTCAAATTTATTTTTGCTACCTGTAAGCTACGTAAATGTGTCATGAGCAAACAGACACATTGTATATTTGGGGCAATGATTGAATCTTTCAGGTTCTTAAAACCACAGTCTTTATTTCACCATAAAATTTCCCAAACAGAAGTAACAGGAGGATAACAGAAATTATTATGTGTACCAATTGGTAGAGTGGATAGAGGGGAGGAGGAGACAGTGAGCAACTATATTTTTTCATAGATGTAGAAAGGAATTTCAATTTTAGAAGAGAAGAAAAACTGTTAATAAAACATTTTATATAGAGCCAACAATTCTGCAAAACATGGAATAACTTTCCCTTATAATTAATGTCATATTATCAAGATGCTAGAAATAGAATTGCTGAAGAATATTATTAGTATTGTTATTAAGCCTACTTCTCCCTGGGTACATAAAAATCACAAAGGGCTGATAAATGCATATCAGCTTATAAAAATGTTGTAATGTGGACATAAATTTGCTTTATGAAACTTGTGGTTGACCCTCTGAGAAGCAATAATCCCTATAAGCTGTCTCCAGTTACGAATCCTCACCCATGCACTAGCCACCTCTGGAGGCCACAGGAATTTACTACTTGAAAGACAGAGTGGAAAGTTCTCAGACTTAGCCTGATTACAAACCTTACAAGCAAATCCACAATAACATTTGCGTCTGCTTAATCAATTATACAGAACATGGATGGCAGTTAGGAGATCCGTCACGTATCCTCTTATTAAACACTAAGCAGCTTGGGGCCCTGTCATCTTCTCTTGGCAAAATATTTGAAATTAAATTAAAATTAAAAAGATGCAGAGGAATGTTGGTAATGAACATGGGTTTCCTGTATTTGATTTACAGGGAGTGGATAATGTAGACAACGCTTCCCAATGTAATCTGGAACAAAGATTTTAATCTTTTTTTTTTTTTCTAAGAGAAGGTTAAGATTTTGTCTTACTTCTTATCTATGAGACTTGAGGTGAGTTAGTTCATCTCTTCAGACGCGTTTCCTCATTGATAAATATGGACAATTAAAGTAGATATGTTACTGTGTGACTGTGAAGAATATGTGAAAAAATACAAGTCACATATTTAGAAGTATTGGCACATAGTAAGGACTCAATAAACATTCGTGTGCCAGGCACTGAGATCAGAAGGCCGTGCTTGCGTTTTAACTAAGGTACACCTCTGGTAAAGCAAAAAATTATGATCAATAAATAAACAAGCAGGAAAGCACTCCACAAACGAGAATCCTGGCTTGTACCCATCTTCGATGAGGTGATTCAAATCTTGACATTTACTGCAATGAATTGTAGATGATCTTCTAAAGTAAAGACTCTTTTTTAAATCCTGATAAGAGTTCAGGAAGTTTTTAAAAATTTTTGCCCTGCAATACTTATAGTTCTTGATGTTTCAACAGTAATTCAAAAAAAGGTCTTGGGAAAAAGAAAAAAGAACAAAGAAAAGCAACTCGAAAGAATTTCAGTTTGCTTAATTTTTTTTTAATTTTCCTATGGAATGCTGATGATATTGATATATCTTAGAAGAACAAGTGTTGATTTCAGAAATGCAATTGGAACCAAAAAAATAGGTCAAGTAGGTAAATTTTCCTTTAAAAAGATGCTAAAAATCAGTCTGATGTGTGGTGCTTTGGTGTTAGGAACCCTTGATTCTTTAGTGCCTTTAGGTTATATTTGAAGTAAACGTCTGCGTTAATGTCCTGAAACTTTAATATTTGCACCGTCCTCGGATACACCTGTGTACACATGCACACACGTTAAATAGACTCACCGTCGCCTTCACCAAGTTCAGTAGCAGGTGAGGAGAGCATTTCGTGAAGTGCTTGCTTGAATTTGGAGTGTTCTAAGATGAGATAATTTTTGTGCATGGTGGCAGATAAATTACTCAAGTCAGTGAGGGATTATTTACAAAGAATTGATCCGAGTGTTAGTATGCCACTGAAAGGGAGTAAGTAGCACAGGGTCAAGTGTATGTCTACATTAATTGAGCCTACCACATCTGGTTCATTACATTCTTCACAAGAAAAATTTTAAGTGATCCAAAATGAACACTGTATTGTTTGGAGGACTAAACTTTTCAAGGAATCTACAATTATTTTAATCAGATTGCAATTGTTAAGCAAAACTAGGATATCTAACCTCCATTGGAAAGTCTCCTTCCCGGGCGTGTGGATGGCTCAGTTGGTTAAGCGACTGCCTTCGGTTCAGGTCATGATCCTGGAATCCCTGGATCGAGTCCTGCATCGGGCTCCCTGCTCAGCAGGGAGTCTGCTTCTCCCTCTGACCCTCCCCCCTCTCATGTGCTCTCTCTCTCTCAAATAAATAAATAAAACTTAAAAAAAAAAAAAAGAAAGAAAGTCTCCTTCCCTTCTTGCCTCTTTTAGTTCTTTGCTTTCATTTTGTGGTAACTAACCTCTGAATTCTTTTTTCTTCTCATTACATTTTTTTTCAAATGCTTCTCTTTCTACGAATTCTGCTCTCCTTATAAAATTACTTTTCCTTCCTTTTCTCCTTTCTCCTTGCACTTTCTCTGCCAAAATATTTTTGGAAATAAATGGTTCTCAGAAAAGATGCATGTAAAGAGCTAACAGGGATTTAAGGATAATATTAGATTAGATATCTTAGATAATGTTTTGTTTTAGAAATAACAGTAAAAATTCATACCATAATGCAAAGAAATAAATATAGTAAAACTGGCAGCGTTTCTTTCACATATTTCCAAAAGATTTTTATATTGTAGGAGAAGACATATGCTACCGTATGCAACATAAGGTTATCATATTCATATCTATCTCGTATGTCTAGGACAAATTTTATTTAGTACTAGGAATGTAGAATGAGATTGGTCTCAGTGTGCCTTGACTTCAGACACTGTTCACCTTACAAGGACCAGAGATAAAGCTTTTAACCAATTGTTTACCAACATTGCACATCAAATGGAGAAAGCCATCTGTTAAATGCAATCGGAAGTTTTTCTCGACTAAATGGCTGTGTTGAAATAGAAATTCCTGTTACACACTTATCTCTAGTGGCCTGCCCTCAAGTGATCTTATCCTGAAATCTAGCTGTAAATTAGATTAATTATTTTACTTACTGCCTCTTCTTCTAAAATGGAACTCTAACAGAAGTATCTCTTTGGATGTGAAATACAGGACTTGTATTACACATTTTCTCTAATGCCTCATACAGCTTTACAAACAATGGCACAAAACCTATTTTTCTCAGTGATAGTTAAAGAGATTTTCCTACTATACAGGTCTAATTGCTTTTAAGAGACTGTAAGAACTAAAAATATGAAAGTATTGTTGTTGTTGTTATACTCTGCGTTCTTAAGTATCCAATGTATGCTTTGTCTCTAGGTCTATTTCTAGTGCTCAAGCACTCATTACTAAGAATTAGATCAGATTATGATTGTGTAGTGGTTATCTTAATTTTGCATATGTTCTCCATCAAATAATACCTATCTATTAATTATGTTTCATCTCAGTGTCTATGAATAAATCCCAGAGCTATTTAGGTCTTTGTGCTTTGCTTTCTAGCTCTTTTGTCTAATAAACTATTATATATCTCACTGTAATAACAGTGAAGTATGTTTGGCAAACTAGCTCTCTTTTATTAAACGTGCGTTTTAATTGGATATTAGAAACAACCAGTTCTAAAAATGTGATTGGCCCTGCTTTCTTTTGAGATACACTTACCACAAAAATGTACTCTGTGGGAATTTGGCAAACTACCTGAAAATAGGATAAATCATTTTTAGTTTACAGGAAAAAGGAAATGCTTCATTATTTTGTTGCCATTATTTACTATATCAAAAAGCAAGTATAATTTTAGCTAGCTATGTGCATGTGAGTCCAGATACCGTTTGATAAAATGAGGCAAGTGGGAAAACTTCCATTTCTTTGTGATGACACATCAGGTATGTCCTTATCTCTAAAAACATAAAGGAGGAAGGAGTGAAGCCTCCCTACTTTGTTTTTCCAAGTAACTTCAGCACTAATAGAAAAATCTAAATCGTGATGTGTTTACTTTGCAGGAGCCAATGAGAAAGAAATAGCCCTAATGAATGGTTTGACTGTTAATTTACATCTTCTACTGGTAAGTATCCTTTCCCACCAATGTTTAGTATACACTCATTTGTAGAATCTGACATTTTTCTATCTTTAATTCATGAGCATCTGGTGGTTTACTTATTTAAAAATAAGTTGTGAGGTTATTTTCATTTTTACCAGGAAATTCTGGACTGTGATAGAAAGGCTTCTTCATAGTCATGGGAGAGTTGACTCTTGCAAAGAGCTTTAGAATAATGAATGGTTCTTACCTCAGAACATAAGGAATAAAAGTCACAGTGGATTAAAAGCAAAACTGCTTGCAAGCACACAAAACAATGATGTACAAATGCCAACAAACATTAAGCTTTTCAGAAAGATAGTTTTCCAGCATGGTGGACTTTAGCAGGGTGACATTCTGGATCAGTTCTGTTTTTATAGACTAATTTTGGGGGAGAAAGTTAAAAAAGAATTGGAAAATAGAACTAAATTGGAGAAAAGGGATCTAATACCTTAAATGAGTTACTGTATTTAAAGTGCTTCCTACTTCCTAAGTACTTAATAATATGTATACCTTAAAATGTCAAATATATTCTTGATTTGGAATATGGTGTCTGTAGTAACTACTTGATATTTGAAAAAATTTTATTTCATTTTTAAGTGAGTTTTTGGAAACATGTCCATGTGACCAAAGCACACAATGAATATATTAATATTTTATTTTGATAAAAATGAAGAAATGATTGTTAAATATCCCTAAAGGAACACGTTCACGGAGTATGTTAAACATGATGGTAAATAGCATAGTTTTAAATTCAGACACCTCGAGGTTTGATTCCTAGCTAAGTTACTTAATGTCTGACTTTGGATGAGGTTTCGGTGATTTCTACATCTTCATTTTCTCTCTGTGAAGATGAGGACAAGAATACCTACCTGGTATGTATATACAAGGGTGAAATGTGATAATATGTGAAAATTGCTTTCGCACCCTGACCAGTGATCAACACTAAGTCAACAGTAGCGATCATTTCATTGTTACCGTCATCAGTCAATGTTTATTCTCTAGGAACTGTGGAGGAAAACGAAGGGCTCTCCCCTGAACAAATGAGCTACTCCTCCCTGGTGCCTCTAGAAATGTCAAATGTTTCATGTTAGGGTTGAGGCCTTTCAGTTGGACCTAAAATGAAATCCCATAAAATTATAAGGCAATGGAAATATTATGTACCAGAAGCCAAATCAGCAGCATAAGATAAATCAATATAAATAAAATTTATATAGAACATGATATTTCAGTCTTACAATAGAAATTACCATTAAAGGCACTGGGAAGACAATTTTTCAATTAAAATTTAAGTAAAGCTTTGTTTTTATCTCATTCATGTTATCTCCCAAATTTGCTTTTCTGTTGATAAATGTAATGAGCCAATACTTTCTTTTATTTTATAATTCATTAGAAATAAGGCTAATTGGAAAAGGAACCCTTAACAGACATCTAGATATGTCATTGAGCCATGCCTTTAAAATGCTGGAGATTATAAAATGAAAGTATGGTATAAAATGAACAAATGTATAAACTGTGCATGAATGCTTTTCTTAATAAATCCATTTCATTGCAGTTATCCTTTTTTAAGCCTACACCAAAACGGTATAAAATTCTTCTTGAAGCCAAAGCCTTCCCTTCAGATCATGTAAGGATTCTTCAAATTATATTTATATTCTTTCTACTCTTCCTAGAGGAGCACACCATTTGCCTGTGTTGAATAGTTTATTCTCCAGTCTTTTCCAAGTAACCTTACAATAAAAAGATCTGTCAAATGCTTTTGATTAGGCATTTTTAAAATATAGATTGTAGCTTTATTTCTTCTGTTCAAGTAAAACGTGTTAGGGGAGGAAAGGATTGAATAGGAACACTGATTTATTAGTCTTTTTAAAAACATTGAGCGAACCGCTGGTTTAAATCAAGTGCAGTTATAAATGTTTTATTAATTCTTGTTGCTGTTTTATTTTATGAAATCAAATCAATACATACCCCGGTGCTTAACGCTTTAGCTACATAGAATAGGGATAAAACTTTTATTTTTCTATAGCATGCTAGCATGTGCTTTATTACTGAAAAAACATTTATTAAGGATGAAAAATATTTCTTACGGTTTATTAAATCTTCCTTCTTTAAGAAATTTGATCGTTCCAGACATAGACGTGGATAAAAGTATACTGCATTTTTCAGTTTTAGCGTTAGAGAGAAATTTGATTTCTGTCTTTCTGTTATCACCGTTAACTGTTCTAATCCACATCTTATAATTTAAGTCATTTAATTATGTCCAAATTAATAGCCATTACTTTACTAAAAAGGATCAAAATCCTAATACTGAGAAAAAATTCAGGGTCTTTATAACTTCCTGTTCCCGTTCATATCTTGTACTCTCAGTGAAGGGAACTTTCTGATGTTCTTTCCTTTTACTAGCTTACTCTTTTTAGGGTAAGCCCTTCCTATAAGCTAGTTCAAGTATAGCAAGTCCACACTACTCACTCTGGTTATTTTGTAAACTCTGGTTTTGACGTAGGTTAGGCGATTTAATATCTTCTACAAATCTCTTAGAACTCTCTAAAGTCTAGATGACCCCTATGCTTCCATACATTTCTAAGATACAGTGTTTCAAGGAATGTTCAGATCCCTGCATATAAATTATATTAAGCACTTCTTTTCTGGTGTATTCTGTTCAGTCACTTTTAAACTTGACCTTAGATTTAATACAATAATATGATTTTATTGTTATTTTATTATCTCTTTTCGGAGTTATTTCAATGTACGTCTGTGCATTGGACTTGATTCAATAAATCATTCTTCTTTTCCAGTATGCTGTTGAGTCACAGCTTCAACTTCATGGACTTAACATTGAGAAAAGTATGCGGATTGTAAAGCCAAGAGAGGTATATGAGAAAGAGAAATAAATATTCATTATGTTTCTATTTAGTATTGATTTTTTTCTTCATTTTCCTCAAAAGTTTATTATTTCCATTACTTTAATGGAACTTTCAAGAAAGTATAGAAGACCTATACTTCCATTACTGCTAGCTCATTTTGCTTAAAATGGAGAATTAACTCAGAAGTTTCAAGGGATAGTCATATTATAAGCAAACTATTTTCCTATGAATACCCCTGGAGTTTGCCATATTCTTCAGTGGGATGGAAAGGGATGGCAAATTGCATATATCATTATTTATTTATTTATTTATTTATTTATTTATTTATTTGACAGAGAGGGACACAGTGAGAGAGGGAACACAAGCAGGGGGAGTGGGAGAGGGAGAAGCAGACTTCCTGCGGAGCAGGGAGCCCGATGCGGGGCTCGATCCCAGGACCCTGGATCATGACCTGAGCCGAAGGCAGACGCTTAATGACTGAGCCACCCAGGCACCCCGCATATATCATTTTCAATTCCAAATACCATTGCCTTTGGATGCCTTTAAAATGATATTTGTTGAAACTGAATGATGCCTATCTTTTATATCTTTTTAATCTAAGTATCAAATGTTTTCCTTTGTGCTTGGATGGGGTGGGGGTGTAGAAAGGGATGTGGTGTAGCGGGAAGAGCTTGGGCCTTCCGGCCTGGCTAATACACTCCACAGAAATCCCAGGCCCACCAATTTACTGGGTAAGGGGCTTTGAGAAAGTTACTTTATCTCTCTGAGATTCCTTCATATTTAAACAGGTAACAAAGGAAACACCTAATCAGGCTTGACATATGTTCAAGATCTAAAATACTGTGCACTTTACATTAATAGAGATGTAAGGCTCTGCAGTTTGTGTAATTTGGTACCCAGAGATCCACACAGAATAAATTGTAGGTTTCACAAATGATGCTCCCAGGCTGTTAAGCCAATGTTTGAACAATGATTTCTTTCAACCCAGAATACTTTGAGAAATTAAAATCTACTCCATTTAGTTCTATTTGCCAACATGCAGTCAATTAATGGAATAGAAAGTTCTCATACCAATGACAGGATATCTGTTTCATATGTCATATATAAAATGCTAATTTCCAGCAAAAATGAAGATAGCCACTAATTTATCAGAAGTTTTAATGTTGAAAGAGATGTGTTGTGGAACCTCATGAGTCAATCATAAATTTTGAGAGCATTCTTTAGCATTACTAGATTAGAGCAGGTCAACATCAGAGAGAACCATATTCTTTATACTGCTTTATACTGATTTAAATAAATAATTAGTATATATAATACTTTTCTTTATCTTCTTCTATTTGAAATTATGGTGGACAAACCATTTTAGATTCTTTTAAGAAAAAAAAAGTTTTGGATTACCATGTTATTGATTTTACTTAGAATTTGTCTTAGAATTACTGAAATCCTTCTCTTTACATATAAAATACCCATCAGTTAACAATTTAGAGATTTCAGTATCAGTACTTTTTTTTATAGATTTCAATTTCATAAACAAGTTCCAGACTTCTAGTAGAAACTAAAGTAGATGCTATATTTGTGATATATATATGTGCCTAACATGGGACACAGTAATTGATAAATAGCAAGAATTACCAAAAATTAAAAATAACTTAATGAACTTCCCCCAAATATTAATGCAGTTAATGATGCTTTGACCTTAAAGATTATGTCAGATTTAGCACTGGAGAAAATTTATAAAAACTTTGTAAATGGATAAGAATGATTAGGATACAAATAGATATTTTGTATTTAGCTGATTTCTCTTTGCTCAAGTTGTTTGCAAGACCAAATCTAAATTCACTCAGAATTTCCACTAAGTAACTAGTTGTTAGTTTTAGCTGGGGAGAAGTAGAAAAAACTAACCTTGATACTGAGTTTTATTGATATTTCTCTTCATTTTTGGAGCTTGATCTTTAGGTCAGTATGGAGGAGAGTCTACTTTTAAGATAACAGAAAATATTGGTTAGGTTATACTCAGATGAAAGATGTGTGTTTTTTATCCTGGAAAACATAAGGTGATGGATTGATAAGTGAAGTAATATCCAAGAAAATTTTGCCATTTAATATTTCAGGGACTTCTCATACTTTCTGGTATTTTATTGGATGGGAATAAGGATAAAACAATTTGTGGGCATGTAAAGAGTAAAGATTAATTGAAAAACTGAAGAATAAATCAAGCAAGTAGGGTTTTGCAAAGACTTAACTTTATAAGCCTTTTTCTTACTCTTTTGTTATCATTTCTTATAATAACAAAAAGTGTGCTGAAATGCTGCTCTCTTGCCAGACTTTCAAAGACCATTAATCTGAAAAAAATGTCTTTGATTGTTCTTATGTGGGCAAGAGCTCAAGGTGAATTTTAGATTGGGAAATATGAAGTGACAAACATGTTTTTGTGGATTGGATGTAACTTGTGCCTGACTCAACTTTAGGGGGAAGAAACATTGAGAATAGAGGATATCCTTGAAGTAATTGAGAAGGAAGGAGACTCGATTGCAGTGATCCTGTTCAGTGGGCTGCATTTTTACACTGGACAGGTCTTTAATATACCTGCCATCACAAGAGCTGGACAAGCAAAGGTATGCACATCATTTTCTCCTTCGCACCTTGCCCCGAACATCACTCTACTGAGGAGTATTCTAACTGCACTTCTAGTGAAATACCTTTGTGTGTGTCTGTGTAAAATTATTTAAAGAGTTGAAAAACAAAAAAACCCAAAAAAACAGTAAGCCTTACATTAAAAGAAAAAAATCTGCACTCTTTTGCTTTAGGCGTCTCTATTTGAAACTTTTTTTTGGTCACTTCTGTTGTCTCACTTCCTCACTACCATCTGCTGTCCCAAAGTTGGCCTCTAATCAGCAAGACAGGTGAGCTTCCTGCAAGGTGATGTCATTGGTACTGAGTTAGTCCATCAGCAGGCACGAGTCAGAATACTTCAGATAATACCTACATATGCTAGGACCGTTGAAACACAACTCTGGTACTTGGTCGTATTATAACTCATTCTAAATGTGATTCAGTTCTCACTTAAACTTAGGTGCTTGAAGAAAGGGAGATGCAGAATAAAAGTTAACAGTAGATCGAGTTATACACAGTGTACTTTTAAAAAGCCACTTTTTTCTTATCTTGAGAAGTTATGATCCTGCCAATAATGAGAGTTTTTCCCTACATATTTCCAAGTCACACTTACATTGTTTACTATTTTGAAATCGTGTCTCTTTATGTTTTTCTTTTTTAAAAAAGTGTTTTTAGTATTCATTTGCCTGCAAAAAAGAAATCAGGAACAGTATTCAGCAGCTACAATTTGTATTTAAAATCCTTAAATAACAGTTCTATTTGATTCAGCAATGAAATTATGCATTTAAAAAGGTGACAATCGAATTTTATTCTGAACATTAATAAGTTATGGGATTAATATATGTGTAAGGTCTAGTTAATATATTCAGTTATTGAAACTAATGAATAGAACTAATGAAAAGAAATTTAGCACCGTTATCAGCAGTCTCTAGGAATTTCCAACCACAACTTCCAACTGGTTTGATGGATAACTGTGAAAGTGGTGCATTACAAAAGATATAAAGATAATGTCTTCTTAATTTAGGCATTAAATGTTAAACACCAAAATAAAGGGAGGTCAATAAAAAATTATATTTTAAAAATTATGCAAGTAATCACAGTCCCTGATCCCCTTAGTATACATGTATGTCTCATTAACCTTCATTGAAATGAGACAAGAAGATAGAAAAGAAAGACCATGCGTTTTGGAATCACAGTCTGAGGTTTAAATCTTGGCTAGGTCATTTAAATGTTATATGATCTCGGGCCAGTTACTTGACTTTTCTGAACCTCTTTTCACAAGTATTAATTTGGGATAGCTGGGCCCATTTCATAATTTCAGTGTTGAGAAGGAAGAATATAAAATATCTGCTGTATTGCACACATTCTGCTGTTATAGTGAAGGATCCCTCACACCTTTTACTGTCCTCAACAAATGCAAAACTATGGAAAGTGGCTCAGATATACATTTTATTTCCAATTGAAAAACAAAATAAATTTGTTTACTTAGGTGCTATATGTAATTCTCATTCTTAACTACTTTGCTAAAACATTCTCTCAGTATTTTGCAGGCTTTCTTTTACTTAAAAAGTGTAATAAATGCCTACCATGTGAAACTCTCATTGAGCTTTCAGTCAAATGAAGGTAGGAATGAGCAGTTCCATCTCAATGTAACTGCACGGAAGTGACGGATACTATGGGAGTGAAATGGTGATTGAGTAGACGTCAATTTATCCATTATCAAAATTATTTTAACACTCATTTATACTCTTGCTAGATAATTTCTCCCATTCCCAATGGAAGGTTGAGAGAATTTAAAATTTAGACTCACATAGCTCTCTTGGGTGGTCTATGAAGATAAAGCTGAAGAGAAAGGCAGAGAAAATTAAAGGTGTCAATCAAAAAAGAGTTAGGAAATTCTAGGAAAAAAAAGGCATAAAAAAATCACTGTTAGAAATGGCTAAATAAGATAGAAAAAGAAAAAGGAAAGTTTCTGGAAATGAGGTATGGCATGAACCAAAATGATACTGAGATGGAGCAAGGAAAGTCAATAAGAATAGTTTTTATTTCATAATCATGTGAAAGGGAAGTGGGGACAAGAATTTTGAAAAAAATATTAAGTAAAGAAATGCATGTATACCAAAAAGAGCACAAATCATAAATAAGTGGCTTGGTGAATTATTTTGAACCCTATAGCCATCACCCACATCAAGAAACTTCTAGAACATTTATGCTGCTCAGAATCCTCAACTGTGCCTTCTCTCAGATACTGTTACCTTCCTTCCAAAGGTACCACTCCTGACCTCTAACCATATATATTAACTTTGTCATCTATAAAAGTGTTAATACGTACTCTTTTGTATCTGTCTTACTGGCTCACTATTATGTTTCTGAGCTCTTTCATGCAGTATGTAGCAGTAGTTTTGTGGGGGGTTTTGGTAGCAGTTGTTTTGTTTTTCTTTTCATTTCAGTGTATTGTTTCAGTGTATGAAATAGATCACAATTTATTTTTGTTTTCCATTCTAATCAGGATAGGTTTTGGGGTTTATTTCCATTTGAGGGCTATTGTAGTAAATGCTACTCTCAACATCCTCAGACATTTTTTTTAGGTAAGCATTCACACTGATTTCTGTTACATATATACTTAGGATTGGAAATAAGGTATACATATGTTTAATCCTAATCAGTAATACCAACTTTCCAAAGGGTTGTACCAATTTGGTATATACTCCCATCAGCATGTATGAGAGTATCTGTTGCTCCATGTCCTCACCGATAGCCAATCTGATTAGTTTGTAATGGTAATGCATTGTAGTTTTAATTTGCACTTCCCTGACTATTGAGGAGGTTGGGATCTTTCAAATGTGTTCTTGCCTTCTGAGTGTTTTAAGAAATGCTTGTGCAGGTGTCTTGCCCAATTTGCATTTGGTTTTGTGTCTGTCGTTTTTTGGCCATAGGTGGTATAGAAATGGATTTTGAAACATGGAAAAAATACAAGATTTCCAGTGATCATCTAAAAAGAAAAATTAATTAGTTAATCAAAAGAACAGTTTTGATTCATGTAATGAGTTTCAGATGCTGAGGCTTTTCTTAAATGAGAAGGCCCGAGACCGTGACAAGTAGGGCAGGCTGATGAAAATTAAACGTAGCATCAGGTTATAAGGGAAGGCCAGCATATGTCAGTTTGAAGATACATTTTCATTTTTTGTCTTTGAAGCCATTTACTTTATTTTATATTATTGGCCAACCCACTATTGCAGAACTCTGCCTCACTTACATATTTCTAAATTTTTCATATTCTATTACTTGTTTCTACTAACCATTTCTTCTTTTCTACACCCACTGAATATAGTTGCTCCTCATTGTCTTTTGAATTACTATCCCTAGAGATTTTAACCACTGCCATGATTCCACTCTCGTTGCCAAGTGAAAGCTACAGGGTACTCCCACACTCGAAAATGGTAATTTATGCTCATCTCCCTATTACACCTGGAAATCCTACATCCACTCTGAAATCAGTATGCTCTAGTTTTGTCTCCCCCTAAAATGACCCTAATGTTTCATGCCACCACCCTTCTGGACCTTTAGACTCAATTCTGACACTCTCCTCTTCTTTGCCTTTTCAACCAGTCACTTCTTAATTCCACTTTCTCAGGTTTGGTCTTTAATAGTCCTGAATCAATTATGAAGTTTTTAAGCTTTAAAACAAAATTCCAGTGAGAAATTAGCCAGAAATTAGGGATTTCTTTTTCTCACCATGGAAGATTTGAGTTAGGAGACTGCTGGGATGCACTAAGCAGTTGAGTAATGTCTGAGTGGCATCTCCAGGGTTCTCTTGGTTTTTTCTTAGGCTTCTCACATCGTGGTCACAAGACAGTTGTCCCAAGTCCAGATATCACAATTCTATTTAAGGCAGAGAGAAGGAAGGAGGGAGAAGTAGCAGTGCAGCTTCATCTGTCCCTTTCATCCAAAGTGCAAAATTATTCCCAGAAAAAGCTAGCAGATTCCTGCTTATGATTCATTGCCTTCTGAAGTGGTAGCTTCAAAAGAGCATGAGTAAAGAAATTTTTAACCTTTATGGTATTATAGTAGAGACAGGCTAAGAAGAAGGGTTTGGTTAACAACCCACAGTATTTTTTACACTTCCCATTTTCACCCCCATGGGGCATCATTGTTTCTAACTTATTTCCTCTTCCCTCTTCCATCCTTTCCTAACTTTTCATTTTTTTCCCCTTTTTTCTTCCCTTCTTCCTTTATTTCTTCCTTGCTTTATATTTTATTGTCTACCTCATTTCACAAAGCATTTGAAAATGATTCACAGGAAATTGATTAGACAGCATAATGAAATGTAAAGTGAGAGAATAAAGGGAAAAATCTCTGGATCATCTGGAGAAATGAATAGATTCCCCATAAATTGTAATTTCTCAACTTGGATTAAGATAAGAAATAGGTAACAAATAGAAATTATTTTCAGTGGAAACTCTTGGTGTATTAGGTAGCCTAGGTCTTGGTAACTCCTAAATAAAGCCATAAATGCTTTCACTGTGATAGATGTTTATTTATTGTTCATGCAGCCGCCAGGAATCAGTTTTCTCCCATGAAATGATCCAGGTTTCCAGTGACTCAGGATTGTGTCCTATGGCTTTCATACCCTGGATCCTTTGTCTGATTCAGCCAAAGGAATGGGATAAAAGGATGTGAAGGGGCATACTAACTTCTTAAAATCATTAACTTAACCATGGCAAAATAGTTCCACTCATATTCCATTGACTAACACATGGACATTTCTGGGAAATGAAGTGTATTTGTGCACTCAAGAATAATAGCTATTAGTTTTGCCACACCTGGAACTCAGATGTTTTGTCTTGCTGTTGGAGTAGGATACTTATTCTGAGATGCAGTGTAGCATTTGCATTAATAAAAAGTTCAGATAGTAGAGACAGAGTCAGACCTGGTCTAGAGTCCATGTCCCTCCCTCCCTTTCTAGCATACTTTGACGGGCTTAATTCACTTACTGATGTGA